TTTCTTAACGTTTTGTTTCTTAGGTAGAGGAATAAAGATCGATTTTAACCAGTCCGATGGAATTTCACTGGTATCTTATATTTGATTGAAAAGTACAGTGAGTTTTTTTTTATTGTCATTTGAGAGTAATTTTAGCCAATCGCTGTATATTTGATCTGCTTCACTGGCTTTGTTGTTTTGGCTTGGTATATGGCTTTTTCCACTTCAGCTTTTAGAATTGATGGTCCTGTATTTGCACTTAAGTTAGGGAGTGATCCTCGATCATCCTTAAATAATGTTTTAATTTAGTTTTCCCATTCCTTTATTACTTCGTCTCCTAGGGATAGTGCATAGCATTCATTATTTGTTAATGTTATGGGTGTATTTCTTTGGTGTACTGTAACTCATTTTATTTTCTTATGTGTGTTAAATTCGTTATGTTATCATTTCAATTCTTCTAGTTCCTCACATTTTGCTCGTATCCATAACTCTTTGGCTTCCCTGATTTTTCTTCGAATCAGATTATGCTTTCGTTTATACTCTGAGTTATTTCTATTTTTAAGCTGTCTTCCTTCGTTCATCATTTAGATTATTTCATCTTTCATCCACGCTTGCTTTTTATAATGGGTGACGATGGGTTTCTATTATACACTGCTTAAATCTAATACCATTCTAAAGTTTACATTTTGCTCATATCTAATCCAGAAGTCCATATCATTTTAAACACATACAAAAAAAATATATGTGAATATAATTCACTCATATATTTACCATCTAAAGGTAGAAATAATAAATTTTTACATAATTTTTTGTTATTCTTCCTTTAGTCTAAGTCTATTTAAATTTTGCTACATTATATTATATTGGAGAGCAGCCCAGGATAGAAGCTAACGGGAAGTAATGGCTGCTCGTATGGTAGGAAATAACGACACTCATTAATGAGCAAAAGATAGATATGTTCCCAAAATTAAAATTTAAGCGGATTTTAATCAGGACTTCTTCGTGGTCAGTCAAAATCATTCATTAAGGAATTGTGTCATTTGGACACATAAACCGTCCTTAATAAACTATATTTGACTTGTTATATCCAGTGAGAAAGTATACAAAATATCACTGAAATTGAGGGTATTTTAAAAACCAAAATAATAATATTATTTATGTATTGGAAAAATATCGAACTTAGTAATGAGGTTCGCTTCGGTTCGTATGCCCCTTTGTCCGCTTCTCGTCGATCGATGCTGGTAGGGTTAATAAATGTTGAAGTTGTGGAGTAAAAGTGATTATTTATTGACAGCAACTCGTAATTACACAATATGGTGTTCGTTCGGTAACTACTCAATATAGACTGTGTTCATTTGAACTCAAATCCCCAATTTATAATCTCACACATAATAGATACATAAGCACCTTAGGTCATTGCTTCGTTCATTCACACCACCTAGCTTTTGCTTATAATACAATTTAATCTACGCCTTAATTGCGACACTTACGAAGTTCAATTAGAAAATACTATTATTCGGCAATTTATTTAGTTGTAGGTAAACGAACTAATATTAAATTATCATACGATATGTTTTTGCAATATATATAATGCAAACTTATACACGGTGAAACTATAAAAGATTAAGAAGTTAAGAATAATGTGAGATTACAAATTAAGGGGTTAATTTGTGATTGAACATATTGGCCACTATATAAACCAAACAGACGAAAATATTTAAACACATATAAAATATAAATAATAATAATAATAATAATAAACATAACACTAATTCACTCGGTTTTTGAATTATTATCTCACCCGAGCAGTGCTACCTATAATTTGATTATTTAGAATTCATGTTTCAGCTAAACTATCTAATTCAAATCTAAGCTCATTAAGTGAAATTGATCTAGGAGGGGATTTCTTTAAAGTACTACCTAAATTTGGTTGTGATGAAGTATGTCTTCGAGGCGCTGGATGAGGTTGGATGTAAGAACCTTGATGCCTTTGTTTTCTGGCTCTCTTGGAGTTTCGAAAATATCTGACTACCTTCCACGTAATGGCAATCAACATAACAATGAATAAAGTGACTAGTCCCGTGGTTAAATGAGGAATCCACTGATGGTTAGCAATGGTTTTCCACGTGTGTTCTGATATATCTTGGTCAAACTGCTCTGCCTCAAGTATAATATTTGGCAACTCATCTCCCCGAATATCTATATTATGTTTGGGAATGTTGTTCTGCCTTATGATTGGCCTCTGCATAAGCTCTGCAATGGGACTGACGGGAGTCTTTAAGTAGCTTCCAATTGCTGTTTCCAATCCGTTACTGGATGTGAGTAACGTTATGTTTCGAGTCTGGGCAACGCATTTTGGTGACAGTTTTATAAAACTCGTTTGATCGATTATGTGTTCAGATCGAGAACCATCGCACATTATAGCTAAATTTATAGCGTATGGTGGAATGACTAACCACAGATTCGGTGTGCTCATTTTCAACCAACTGGCTTCCTTTATCGTGTATTCTATTATATTGCAAGTGGTATTGGTCGTTCTATCATATAATTCATTTAAGATACAGTTTGGCTGAGTATCCATATTAATGATTCCCATTGGTGAACATGCCAACTCTCCTTTATTTAATTCTATACACCTTCCTTTTTCTTCATACGTCACTTCAAAATAATGTAAGTTATTGTAATCTACTGCAAGTAGATTCCTTGGGACCGACAACGAGCGCACAACACCACCTCTCACCGACAACGGAAGAGCTGTGACTCTTAGTAGGTTGTATCTAGTGTTGTCAATTATTAGGAAATAGCCAATAATGACGATGTCTCCTTTTTCATTTTGTACGACCGTATCTATTATTGGTTGCCTTCTTATATCTACTCCTTGTGGAAGGAACCTTGTAGCATTCGAAATGATTGACTCTATTTGTCCAGGTTTTATAATGTCTATGAAGTGTCCATGATTGTAATGAAGATTTAATATTTTTTCGTATGTGTTCGAATATTCTTTTGCATATTCCATTGCACGGTTATAAGTCGTTTCCACTTTAAGTCGTATGTACTCCTTCTCTAATGTATCAGCTCTATATGAGACATCACTTAGCCCCTTAGACATTTCCCTAGTTTCGTTTATCAGTGCTTCTCGGAACCTATTTAGATGTCCGTTTATTCTTTCTTCTGTAGAGTTAATCTTCTGTAGAGATCCTTCTGATTTTCGTCCAAGGAATCTATATCCCTGTATACTTCATCATTTACCATCCATAGGTCGCTGGTTCAAATCCGGCTCGAAGGACCAATGGAAAAATATCGAACTTAGTAATGAGGTTCTCTTCGGTTCGTATGCCCCTTTGTCCGCTTCTCGTCGATCGATGCTGGTAGGGTTAATAAATGTTGAAGTTGTGGAGTAAAAGTGATTATTTATTGACAGCAACTCGTAATTACACAATATGGTGTTCGTTCGGTAACTACTCAATATAGACTGTGTTCATTTGAACTCAAATCCCCAATTTATAATCTCACACATAATAGATACATAAGCACCTTAGGTCATTGCTTCGTTCATTCACACCACCTAGCTTTTGCTTATAATACAATTTAATCTACGCCTTAATTGCGACACTTACGAAGTTCAATTAGAAAATACTATTATTCGGCAATTTATTTAGTTGTAGGTAAACGAACAAATATTAAATTATCATACTATATGTTTTTGCAATATATATAATGCAAACTTATACACGGTGAAACTATAAAAGATTAAGAAGTTAAGAATAATGTGAGATTACAAATTAAGGGGTTAATTTGTGATTGAACATGTATACTTCATCTAATTTATATACCGATGCTCATCATCGGCGTCATAGCCCGTGACGTCACATGATAACAACACGAAATATTTAGGCGGTAGGTGTGTTCTTTTTTAGAATCACTTTGCCGAGTACACTGGCATTACAGCCACTAGACATATTTTATTATATACGCCTAGAAATAATATCTAAAGATTTCTATTAATGTTAACTTAAAGAAATACACAGTAATATTTTTAATTTAATTTGTATAAAGGCAGTATTAGGCGTTTTTATTAAGAACATTTGTTCGGAACACACTGTAGCTGTAATCGACGAAGGTGAAATTTTGGCATAAATTGGTAACACTTATTTGACAGTTGCGGTGGACACGTTTTGTACTTTAATATTTTGAATTTTAAAGTGAATACCTCTTGTTTTATATTTTTACAAAATTAATAAAATGTGTGCTATTTAGAACAAAATTGGTGTGTTTTATTTCAAAAATATCACGTAAGAATTTAAATAGTCGTTGCAAAGAGATGGTAATACTTTTGCAATAATTATGTGACCTATTTGATTTAAAATGGAGTCAGTATTTTTTTATACTTTGGCAACTATATCAACTTCGAACTCTGTCAATGATAATGACGTGCATCGGTAAGTAAATTAGATGAAGTATAGATTTGAGAGAAGAACACATGGCTCTAGTAGGTGGCTGCATACATATATCGACATACCAAATATTCAGATAAAACACAAGCTAAGAATATCTTCTGAACCTCTGTAATAGCATGTTGGTTTTCTTCGTCTTACTTCTGGCTGTTTTATCAATTGAAGTACTCCATTTAATAAATATTGATTTAATTTTGAACTGGTTTGAAGTGATAAGGCTCCAGGTTTTTTATATTTCAATAATATATATTATCTAATTTACAACTGTTAATGCTGATAGTTGACGTAAACTTATTTTAAGATTCTGATCTAAGTAGATATAGCTCACCCTTTCTATAAATACTGTGCACTGGTAGAATTTCCTATTGATTTTAAATGTATAACAACATAATGATAAGTTCTTTTTAATTATAAATTTTAAATTTTTTTAACTATTATCTCTCTTACCTTTCACTTTCTTAACTAATTTGTATTTATAATTATTATTTAAAACCTTTTTGTTATTGTATTTTGCTTGTGCGTATTGTTTTTTGTTACAAATCATTTACATCATTTTTTATATTACAGGAACTCGTGAAAATTTCAAACAAGAATAACTTTATTTTTAGTGGATTATCTGCTGAAATCATATTGTCCTTACTTGCAAATGGAGCAAATGGAACCACAAGAGAACAATTGTTAACAGGTTTGAGCTTACCTCACAACATTCAAAATATAAATAAAGCTTACACTAAAATAACAACTGGTCTAAAAGTAAATGAAAAGCTTAATTTAAGATTAGCCAACAAAGTGTTCGTACATCAAAACTTCTCAATATTAGAGCAGTTTAACGATATTGCTGTGAATAGTTATGCCGCTGATGTAGAGAACCTAGACTTTATGAAGACACTAGACGCCGCTAATTATATTAACAGCTGGGTCGAAGAACAAACTAATAACAAAATCAAAAATCTCATAGATCCAAAATCTTTAAGTAATAAAACAGGATTATTATTAGTCAATGCTTTATACTTCTCAGGACAATGGAAAAATCCTTTCCCAGACTATGGTACTAAAGATAGAACGTTCCACAGCTCACATACTAAGTCTAAAAAAATTCCCACCATGTACAGCAAATCTTCTGCCAAATATGCTCACAATAAACAACTAAAGGCTAAATTTTTGGAACTTGGATTCAAGGATGGAAACATTACTATGACATTTGTTTTACCTGACGAAATCGATGGACTGGAAGCTGTTGAAAAAAACTTAGAACAATACTTGGCAACACAAGAAATGGAATATGCTAGAGTTGCCATTACCCTGCCCAAATTTAAAATTGAGAGCCAAATTGATTTTAAACCCATCTTGCAGTCGGTATGTTATAAAATTTATTTATTTTTATCCAATTTAAACTTTTGTCTGTATTTTTTTCTATATTATTTTTTTCTGTAATCTTATATTAATATTTAATCATTATGCTCAAGTAAAACCAAATGATTTTTAAAATACTGTGTTCACTGACACTTCGTCTAAAGATCAGTAACCCCAGTGGAGTCCTACGCTGCCATGTGATGAAATCCTTTTATAACTTAAACATCATAGTTTTTAAATATCAAATATGTAATTCGGGAGACGCACTACATCGCCAAATCCCACAGCGAATAACTCACATATGGTTAAAGGAAAGAATACCAAGATGGAAGGAAAACATAATAGTGCCCATCCACAAAAAAAGGGGACAAAACAAAATGCGCGAATTATAGAGGAATCTCACTTCTAAACACGGCATATAAAACCATCTGAAACATCATTCTTAGTAGACTAATCCCTTATGCTGAAAATATCCTAGGCGAATAATAAGCCGGGTTTAGGGCAAACAGATTAACAATAGACCAACTATTCACGCTAAGACAACTTGTAGAAAAGGGATGGGAGTATAACAGACCCACACACAATCTTTTCATAGACTTTCGACAGGCATATGATAGCGTAGAAAGAAGCCAAGTATAGAATGCCATGGCCGAGTTCTCAATACCAAAGAAACTCATTCGGATGACCAAAGTCTGTATGGAGGGTGGAATATCTAAAGTACGTGTAAATAATAAACTGTCTGGCAGCTTTGAAATTAACAATGGACTTAAACAGTGTGATATATTATCTGCACCACTTTTTAACCTTGTTTTAGAGAAAGCCATGAGGTCGGCCGAAATAAAAACAGAATTGCTATCCGTTCAAGGTCGTTACTCGCATATGCAGATGACATAGATCTCGTTGGAGACTCCATCCTATCCACAAAAGACCTTTTTAAATAAGGTGGAAGGAGCAACAAGTGAAGAAGGGCTGAAGATTAATGAAGAGAAGACGAAATATATGTGTATAAATAGAACGACACAAAGAGACAGAATAGGACAAAATGTGATGGTCAACACCTTCAATTTTGAAAGAAAGAGTACAACGTTATAAGTATCTGGGAGCCATAATCACAGCTGACAACGATGTCACTAAAGAAATAAAAGATAGAATCCAATCTGCAAACCGCTGTCTGTTTGCACTGAATAAGCTCATAAAATCAAAAAATCTCACAGGAAGTTCAAAGATCAAAATCTATAAATCCATCGTCAGACCTGTAATAACATACGGATGCGAAACGTGGGCCATGACCAAAGAAAACGAAGAAAAGCTCAGATGCTTTGAACGAAAAATACTTAGAAAAATATTCGGACCTCACCATGACATCACCACAAACCAGTATAAGATCAGAACCAATATCGAATTAAAAGCACTCTACAACGACGCCAATATTGTCCAACAAATTAAATCACGGTGACTAAGATGGGCAGGCCACGTGCATAGACTGCATAACGAAAGACTTAGTATGGGAGCAGATTCCCAAAGGCAAAAGACCACTCGGAGGTCTCAGAATGCGATGAAGAGATAACATCCAAGTAGATCTCCGGAAAATGAACATTCCATTTGACCCTAGGTTGATAGAAGACCGAACAAATTGGAAAAAAGTTGTACAGTCAGCAAAGACTTACCCAGGGTTGAAGCGCTACGTGATGATGATGAAATATGTAATTCAGAGTGGCTTTAAACATGTACAGCTGGTTCCTAAACAAACTTATACAACTCTTAGTAAGATTTGATCATTTTGGGTAGTGTATTTGATTGGTCTGACATTCTTATTAGATTAATTATGACAGACAAATAATGAAATAAACAAACAAATAATTAACAATTGAGTGAAGGTCTAAATTTTGATATTATTTTCAATTCCTGCATTTTATAAATAAATGAAGAGTTCATCATTTAAAGGTTCGTCATTTTATAAATAAAGAGTTTATAAATGATAGTTTTTTACATAAAATAGTATTGTTGTTATTATTAAGTTGTTATTCTTAAGGAATAAAACCAACAACTTAACTATATATTAAAGCAAGAATTGTAACCAAATTAAAAGATAACTGGGCACTATTAGAGGCAGCAAAACATTTTAACATCAGCAGATCCACAGTTTTTCTATTAATAAAAAATAGGGGGAACAAGAAATTCTAGAAAAAATGCGAGAATCTGGAACACTTAAACTATACTAAATTTAGGTATGTAAAAATAAAATTAATATTTTGTAATATCTCCATCAGTATTGATAACAGCTTATAGTCTTCGGTCCATCTGCGTGAACGAAAATATAGAATTGTCTTCTTCAGAGAGCTCTTTCCAAACCTGTTGTATACCATGCCACGTTATACAACAGGTATACCGTGGCACGTATATCTTTATCATTTTAATGTATAAAATTACGCCGATACAACTGGTTTATCGTAACGTCCCACACATTCTCGATTTAGATTATATGTGGACTGTAGCTGGGCCACAGTAAGGTTCCGATATTGTTATTCTGGAGCTACTGGTTTATTATATTTGCAGTGTGAAGAGAACAATTATCTTCTTGGAGGATACAATTCTTTTCTGAATACAACTGTTCTACACTCTTCTTCTTATAGTGCCGTGCACCTATAGTGCGTTTGCGAATTATCTTAAGGCCAGACGTCTGTTTTTTGCGGCATGTAAAAGATCGCCAGTGTTATTTATGCCTGTCTAGTTCTTTATGTTCCATAGCCATGACATTTGTTTGCGATCTACTCCTCTCTTGCCTTCAATATTTCCCTGGATGATTAGCTGAGGGATTGCGTGTTTTTTCCTCTTAGAATATTGCCGAGGTATCTAATTTTTCGTACCTTGATCAAATTAAGTATTTCTCTTTAAGTATTTTCCTTTTTTAAGCCTTCCTCGTTTCTCATCCTATCTGTCTATGGTATGCGGAACATTATTCGCAACGTCCACATTTCAAAGGCTTCCAACTTATTAATGGAAGGTACTCTTAACGTCCATGTTTCCACGCCGTAAAACAATATGGCTATATATAGCATTTAACCATCCTTTAGCGAAGATTACGGTTACATAGTTGCAGTTTAAATTTGATAAAAGCTTGTCTTGCTTATTCGGTACGGCATTTTATTTCTTGTTGAGGATGCCATTGGTCATTATTTATCATTCCCAAGTATTTAAATGTTTTCACTTGATCGAATGGAGCATTATCTACTTGCAGTTGTATTCTTATCCTAAAGCCATATATTTTTCCTACAGTGTTTATTTTATTTAACATCAACTGCCATACCATTTCCATTTTATCCCTATACATTGGCGTTACAATGACCAGCTGCTCGATATCTATCAATATATAGAGGATTAAATATATTATTATCTGGTCTATACACCTAAATTTTGCCCTTTTTAGAAGATTGAAAAATTTTCTTATCTATAAATAATATTACCCTGTCCCAAAAATCTTCATTTTGTAGCTGGTGGTTTAAAGCAAATATAAGTCTTGGTTGCTTTTGTTGTGGTGTAAGAGCAACCATCTTCTAATTTCGTACAATTCTTGCTTTTAGTTCTTTGCTAGCTTGTGGAGCCATTTTTTAAAAATGGCCCACATGCTAGCAAAGTTACTGTGTACATAGTTGACTTAAACAAAGGTTATGATAAGCAGTTGCCAATTACGATTGCTAAAGAAAAGATCAATTCCAGACAACTATTATAACTTTTGTAATTCTATAAATGCCAATAAAAATATAAGAGAAAATTTGCCGGAGCCAAATAAAAGCGAGGATTCAGACGAAAATTAAATTATATATCTTCTTTTTGTTCCACTTTTACAAAATAAAGATTGATATAATTTTAATTATTTACAAAATCTATAATGCCACAATCACGAATGTAACTTTTTTTGGAAATTTGATGAATATTTTTATAAATTCCTGATCCCTAATATTTCTAAATATTAGGGAATATATTCTAATATTTCTAAATCCCTAAATATTTGTAAAATATAATATACCTATAACATATGTTAATAAAACTACAAAAAAAAATTGCAGCATTAAAGCCTGAATTTTGGCAACTAATTGAAAGTTTAAAAGTCGGATATCTGCTAACGCTCTTTTTGCACATTCGTGAAAGTGCATTACAGCGACGAAATATCTAGAAATTGCATTATATAGCCACGGAAAATTTGAAATAGAAGTAGAAGATAAAGTGAATAGAGCAAACAGAGCCGCATGTTACCTAAGTAAAACAATATGGAGAAATAAAAATATCAGTTAAGAAAAAAAGGCAGAATTTACAAAACAGTCGTCTGAGCAATAATGATATACACGGCAGAAGCACGACCTGGCACAGAGAGGACAAAAATAATGTTAGAAACAGTAGAGATGAAAACACTAAGAAAAATTAGTGATAAAACACTATGGAACAAAGCTAGATGTACAGATATACGACATAGATACAAGGACTGAAAATAGAAGAGTAGAATGAAACGATCACATAAGCAGAATAACAACAAATACAGCAGTAAAGATGACAAGAGACGGTTCCCCAATAGTAAGACCACAATAATGATGAAATGACAACTTACTGGAGGAATATTGAAGAACAGACACACATATATAATTAAAAATAAAAAGAAGAGAAAGAAGCAGAAATTTATTACAAAAAATAGAATATAACAGTCAATATATTGGGAGAAGCAGAGTAGTCGCACTGAATTATGCCAAAACGAAAGAAAATACTAAAATGGTTGAGGTAAGTTAAGGCAACCTGAAAGTCATGAGTGTTGGGTTTGTAACAGAGGTAGGAGGGAAGGCAAAAAATACCTACAGACTTTTATACAGAGCAGGTATATCTGTATAAGTAGTGTGCCTTATGATGAAACTCAGAGAAATGTACATGCGAAAAGTAGAGCTTATCTAGGCATAAATAGTTAATAATTTTTTTGTTACAATTTGCATTTGAATCTAGTTTTAAATTTTTGCTTATATCATTTAAATACAATTTACTATTTTTATCTATTAATGGATTTTTTTTTTCGTTCTAAAATTTCGTTTTAAAAATAGTAAATTCTCTTTGTATATTTATTAACTATAATGATCAAAAACCAAAAAAAATAGAAATTTAATATGTTTTATAGAAGTATATGACATTTATTAAATTGGTTTTTTTTTAGTTGGGAGTTAACGAAATATTCGAAAAAAGAAATGACTTTTCTTACATCTCCGATACTGATCAGCTTAAAGTCGACTTTATTGTACAAAAAGCCTTTATTGACATCCATGAAAATGGCGTCGAAGCTGCAGTGGCTACAGGAGTAGGTCAGTGGATATTAATTATGTTTTGTTGTAAAAGTTTATGATCATTGAAGAGCACGTTTCTAATAGTTTACAGTTCTAATAAAAATATATATTCTAAAAATATTTTAGAAAGATTTTGTTATTGCTCTAAATACTTTTACATATACTTGTCCCGAGTAAGTACTTATAGTAAGTACTATAGTCCCAAGTAAGTTACATACTATATGCTATACTAAATATTAATATTACCTCGAAGGTTTAGGCCCTCTTTGTGTGTTTTCTTTTTTTTTGATAATTTTTTTTGGCTTAATTTTTTTTTATTCTTTTTGATTTTTGTTTAATTTTTTTACTTAGTCTTTTTTTGTATATTTTTTTATTTATTTAAGTTTTTTTTTTGTTTTTTTTTTCATATTTTCACTTATACAAAATTTCACAATTTTAGTTTTATATTAATAATGTGTTTAATTAGGATCTCATAGATACTTTTCTCTTTAGTAGCAATCAAAGCTTGTAGATTAAAACGTTTTCTTATATATTTTGTAATATAAATTTGATCTAAAAAATAATCTATTTCTGTTTTTTTTTTAATTTACAAACTAATATCATATGTTCTGCGGATCCTAATTCTCCACATTCACAACAGTTTGTGTCTGACAGTCCTATTTTTATGTTTATGTTGTGGAACTAAGGAGTGGCCAAATCTACATATAGATGATATAAAGACCTTTTTGCCTTGATAGTCACTAAACCAACTTTTAGATGGGATCTCTGTTTGGATAGTTTTATAATACCGTCCTTTTTTGGAATTGATATACCATTCTTTCCAGTTATTGATTTTATTAATATTAATGTGAGCATATGCGTCATTTAGTGTTAACTTATATACATAGTTAGTATCTAATTCTGTAGCTCTGTTTGCTAGTTTGTCTACAATTTCATTATTTTTTAAATTACAATGGGCTTTTATCCAACAGAATGATATTTCTTTACCTTTGGATTTGAGTACAATAAAGTTTTTAATTATTTCTATAATGATATGATTGTAATGTTCTGTCCACTTCTCCAATTTAGTTAGAGCACTTTTACTATCTGAAAGTATCACGAATCTATCACTATTTGTGATAGTTGCTATGTACTGCATTGCTCTTAATATTGCTATTAGTTCTCCTGTATATACCGTGGTTTCTGTAGCTAGACCTATTCCTTCTCTGTATTGTGTTTTAGGGTCCCATATAGCAGCAGCAACTTTAGAGTTAATTTTTGAGGCATCTGTATCAATTTGGTAATATTTTGGGCATAGTGTTTCTATATCTATATTAAACATTGAGTTCCTTATCTCCGGTGGGAAACTCGAATAATCTCTTATGTAAATCGGCTGTATATTAGGAATACTATTTAGATATATTTTAAATATGGGTGATATTCTTGGTGTGTATAATTTATTTTTAAATTGACGCAAGTTGTTGTAGGTTTCAACAAATAGTAAAGTAGGTTTTTTCTGCCAGTATTCACTCGTTAAATCATGTATAAAAAGTTTTTGACACTTATCCACTATTAAACTCTCCTTAGCAATGGTTTTAATTATAAACTTTTCGCATAGAGTTTTTCTTCTTAAATGTAGTGGTGGTTCATTGCACTCTATACTTAAATTAGATGTCGGGGTGCTTATTAGAGCTCCGATACATAATCGAAGACATTTATTTGATAACACTTCTACTTTTTTTAGGTGAGTTTTAACTGCTTGGTTGTAAAATATGCATCCGTAGTCTAAGATTGATCTTATATATGATCTGTACATTATTAACGAAATATTAGCATCTGCTCCCCAAGTTATGTGACTTACTGCTCGTAATGCATTATAACCTTTTTCAGCTCTTGTCACAACGTATTCAATATGATCTTTCCAGCTCATTTTTCTATCTAGTATCATGCCCAAATACTTAACTTTAGGTTGAACATTAAACTGTAAGTTTTGCATTTTTACTAACTTTGGAAGTTTTTGTTTTCTGGAAAATATACAAAGTTGTGTTTTTTTTACAGATATTGTTAAATATAACTGATACAAGTCATCAAGTAAATAATAGTATACTTCATTTATGATGTTGCAACCATTTTCTACGTCCTCTTGGTCTACGTAAATACATATGTCATCTGCAAACTGTAGTACTTTACCTTGGTTGCGATTTAGTATGCTTTTGCCTATATCCGAAGTATAAATAGCATATAATATTGGGCTTAGGATACTTCCTTGGGGTATCCCAATGTTTGTTATTCTGGGGCCCACTAATTTGTTGTCAATTTGAATATATAAAACTCTATTACTGTATAGTTTATAAATTTTTCAGCACAGTATCTCTGGGATTCCTATTTTCTTCATTTGGTTATATAGTATTAATAAATTAACATTATCATAGGCATTTTCTACGTCTACAAATGTAGCAACGACGGATTTATTATTAGAAAATGAGTTATAAACATCAAGTATCAAGTGTGATAAGTTTTCCATTGTTGAGCATGATTTCCTGAATCCAAATTGCGTTGTAGAGAGTAGAGAATTTTTTTCCAACCAAAATTCTAATCTTTGTTTAATCATTCTTTCTAATGTTTTTAAGATACATGACGATAGCGAAATGCCTCTGTATGAATTTGGACATACTGCAGGTTTATGTTGTTTGAGAATTGGGACTATAATATATTCTTTCCATGAGTTTGGAAATTCCATGCTTACCCATATATTGTTTATTATATTCAGAAATTGTATTTTCTTTTGAATAGGTAAATTATATAGCATACTATAGTGAATACTGTCCTTTCCTAAAGCTAAGTTGTTATTATTTTTAATACAACTTTTAAGTTCTTCCAAATTAAATTTTCCTGTTAGAAATGTACTGTCTTCAGTGACTGTATTGTTCGTTGTATATGTAATTTCCTTCTGAATTACCCAAGGTCTGGCAATTTTGTTAAAGAATAGTTCGGTCCAATCATTTTCTACTATTGGATTATTAGGTGGCTTATAGGCATTTTTTAATTTTCTAATCTCACTCCATATTTTATTAATAGGTGTATTTTTACTTAAACTATTACATAAATTTTTCCATGAGGCTCTTTTACTATTTAAAATAATTCTTTTTTTTATTAGCTTTCGCTTGCTGATATTTTAAATAATCTTTGTGAATAGATATTCTTTTAAATTGTATAAAAGCCTCTTTTTGGTGTTTAATAGCCTCGCTACATTCATTGTTCCACCAGGGTTTATTAAATTTTGGATTGGTCATTTTTCTCTTCTCTGGGATGCTAATTTTACTAGCGTCATTTATAGAATCGTGAAATATTTGATATTCTTGTTCTATATTTTCTTCTATATTATCATTTTTATCATTGTTTAAGAGATGGGAGACAACTGCCCAATCCGCTTTTTTAATATCCCATTTAATTCTATTTCTAATTATATCATTATTATCATTAGAGGTATTTACGTTACTATCATGTGTACACTCTATAACTACTGGATAGTGATCTGAACCCAGACTTATATTTTCTGGGTGCCAATAGCACGTATAATAGATATCTCTTAAGCAAATTGTTAGATCTATAGCTGATTTACTTTTATTCAAGAAACCCCTAATTAATGTCTCAGAACCATCATTTACGAAATTAAGTCCACATTCTTCCATGGCTTCAAAAAGATTTATTCCTTCGCGATCAGTTTTATCACATCCCCATATTTTATTATGACAGTTAAAATCTCCCCCCACTAAAAATGGTTTGTTACAACTATTGAAGAATCTGACCCATTCATTTTTTGATATACCTAGTTTAGGCTTTGCATATACCGAATATAAATTTAGAATATAATTTTTTAAATTTACTTGTACTGCAATACACATTACGTTATTTATTTTATAAAAATTTAAGTGATTCCAAAAATTCATCTTTTTTTTATTAATATTGCTACTCCACCATAACCATCTGGTCCATCTTCGCGAAATATATTATATCGAGAAAAGTTTATGTTTGTATTTGGTTTCAACCAAGTTTCACTCAGTAATATAGCTAAAAAATTATTTTCAAATATATATTTTTAAAAATGTCCCTTATTGTGTATTATCGATCGTGAGTTTCATTGTAAGATTTTGTTACTTGTTAGATCCATTTAAAATTCTTTCTAGACTGTCTTTAAATTCTTCCAAAATTTGTTTATTTTCTGTTGGCAAAAAATTTTTACATAGAATATTTTTAAATATAGTTAATATATTTTCACTAAGATTTTTGTTTATTTGAGAATTTTGTGTTATTTCTTTGTGATACATTGGAATGTTCTTAGGAATTGGTAGAGGCGGGTACTCAGAGGTGCTAGGATTTGTTAAGATATTTTCGTGTTGTTCCGAATATGGGTAGACTTATTTTGTGTAGCTTCGCTCCATTTTCTTTTAGTTGTTATTGTATATCTATTACCTACACTTGATGTTTTTAAAGCTGATGTATAGCTATTATTGTATTTTAATTTTGCTTCTTCAAATGCTATATTTTCGTTTATCATAAGATATTTAATACCCTTTTGTTTCTCAAATTCAGGACATTTTGCTCGGTCTAATGCTGAATGTTTTCCAAAACAAAATATACAGGTAGGCTCTGTTAAGTCGCATGCTTCAGACTCATGTTCTTGTCCACATTTTCCGCATCTTTTTTTTCCTCTACATTGTGTCGTAACATGACCATATCTTATACAGTTGAGACACTGTGTTACTCTAGGTATATAAGGATCTACCTGATATATCATTCTCTCAATGAGAACTTGTTTTGGTATCATTTGTCCTCTGAAAGACACCACTATAGTACCCGTCTCTATCAACTCGTCATTTGATTTTCTTTTCATTCTTTTTACACTTAATACCTTAAAATTACCATATCTACAAACAATAATGTCTTTTAATTCATTTTCTGAAATACCTTTATCGACTCCTTTAATTACACCACTCTTTTGAACTAAAAAGTTTGGAATATATAGGTCATAATTTTTG